TGTTAGGAAATTTAGATAAGCTGCACGGGTTTTTCTACCTGCCCGACCTTTCTGTTTTCTCAGTGGTTACTTTATCTCTGTGATTCCCTAGTGCCATCCTGCCCTACCCTCCTTCCTTCCCTCCTCCACTCCCTCAACACTGAGTCACACACCAATGCCTTCCCGTTTCAGCCAGCTCGAATATTTGTAATACTGGAAGATTTCTTATAGAACCCAAGGTTCCGGTTTGCATGGAAGATTGTTAGGTGGCAATACCGGGCAGCAGGCCGGCACTGTGTAGGACCCTCCCTTAGCCATGACAGTGTTCTCCAGATAACACAGCCATCATGCAGGCCGTTTCACTCCCTTCCATCATCTAGGCAGGCATCTATGTTTGCTTCCCCTAGCACAGACGCAAGCAAGCGCTGACTCCTTAACAGGCCCACAGGACCCTTCACACTTAGGCATGCAGCCTCATTCCCACAGGCATTCTCACAGCAGCTCTGCTGCTAAATAGAGTCATTTACCTTGTTAAAAAATTTCATGACACTTGTTACATAAGGAAGACTTCATTTAAGAAGGGACTACTGCAAAGGGGTTTTGCAGCAGCAGAGAGAGATCTGACTCAATTCTGAATGCAACAAGGATGGGGGGTGGATTTATAGCCATGGATTTGGGTGGGATCTGTGGATGCAAAAGGCAAGAGAAGAAGCAAGAGGAAGCATCAGGGGTAAGGAAGGATTCTGGCTAAACTGACTTGACAGGATTCTTGCTGAAGGCAGGCCAGGGTGATCAGGGTGGGGGATTCTCACTAAAGTGACCGGGCAGGATTCTTGATAAAACTGGACTCTACAAGCCCAAGGCACAGAGGGCTCAGTGGAGCCTGACTAGAAGTAGGTCACGGAGAGAGTGTCAGCCCATTGAGTTTGCTTACTCATATAATTTATTTAATTTTTACCAATGAGACCATTTTGCAGACCCCCTGGAGCATTGATTAGCTGCAAGGTGTGTGCCTGGCCTGGCCACCATTTGTGGAGTGTTTCAAAGGAGTTAGGTTTTAGATTTTCATTGATCTAAAGCTTCCGGAAAGGGAAGAAGCAGAGGAAGGAAGAGAACAAATGGGGCCTTTTCTGTGCTTAAGGTCGTTTCCAAAACAAATACATTTCATTTGGTTACGTGGTTATGTATTTGCAAACATCCTGCTCAGTGAGGCTGAGGTGGTAACAGCAAAATTGTGGTTTACCTTGGTTAGGATATCTGTTGTCAAACATTGCCCATTCCTTCCCAGAATTACAAGAAAATTGATGTATCATTTAGCCTCATTACTGGACTTCTGGAAAATAAAATCAATTCAAGCCATGGAGTAGTTACTTCATTGCTGTTCATGCTAAGTTCAAGAAGCTGCAGAGGAGTGATTTTCAGAAACCTGGGCATTTGGGCTTTAGTTCAGGAAGCTGCTGCTTAAGGCAGGCTTTATCCTACTGGGGCCATCACAGATCCGGGGTTCTGTTCTTGGCAGGTTCAGAAACTTGTCATCCATCCCAAGAGGAGTCAGGCTTTAGGAGTTTATGTCATCCAGCCAGACTCACAAGGACTATTGGTCAATTAGCTTGTTCACTTTTTTTATACATTTATTGAACACCTACTGAGAGTATGGCCCTGTCATAATCTCTGGGGAAAGTCCCTTGTCCCTGTCCTTTAGCAGCTTATGGTCCAGAAGTGAGACGGATATGGAAATAAATGTTGTATCTGAAGATACTTCAAAAAGTTTGTGGAAAAATTGAATTAAAAGATAACACCCCTCATATACTGTGCTAAGTATGGAGTGACCCTACACCCTGGTCTACCTGAGACAGTCCTGGTTGATGCCTGTTGTCTTGGTTAACGATTACAAAACTATGTAGTGCCAAAGTAACAGTCTCTGTGAATGTTCGAGATACAGAAATGTTTGAAAGGAGGGAGAAATCTCCCTGCTTTCCCAGAGTAGACACTTGAGCTGGGTGATGAAGGAAGAGAAGCCTGGGCAGCCTAGGATTGGGATCTTGGGGTGGGGGTGGGGGAGAGGTGCATTCCAGGAATGTACAAAGCTCTGCAGGCAAAAGGAGATTGTTCAGGAAGCAGCAATTAGTTGGTTCAAACTAGGCATTGTTTCCCAAATTTACCTTGTGATAAGAATTCCCCAGGACATTTAGTAAACATACAGACTTCCAGATCGTACTGGCAATTTGGATTTGTGTTTTTTAAGAAGCGCTCCCAGATGACTTTTGGGCATATTAAAGGTTTGGAACAAATTCTCCACTAATTGTGACTGGGAATACAAAGGGATGGCAATAGAGGGGAACCGGAACAGCAAGATGAGAGCGCATGTCACAGATCTACCAGGCAGGGGTGACCCCAGATGAGAAAGGCCGTAGAGGTAAAACCAGTTGGGAGACATTTACAGTAGAGCAATGAAAAATGGGGAGTTCAGGAGCCATGTCAGTCACAGTGGCGATGCAGAGGAGTGAGATTAGAGAGCTGTTCAGGAGGAAGAATGAACAGGACCTGCTGTTTGTCAGTTACTGATTTACACAGAATATTATTATTTCCAGACACCAGAACTCTTGTGTCAAATCCAGGAACCTGAGGAACCTTATAATCTGAAGGGTTACTTGGTGAGCATAAACGTAAAAATACAAACAGCTGGATAGTGTTGTGGTATATTTCATAGGGACCTAAGAAAAATGACTCCTTCCTACCTCACTTTGTAGTCCCTTGATCACTCATGACAGTGTGTTATCTCTGGGAAGAAGTTGGGATGAATTCTAAAACATGCCAGGCACCCCAGCCCCCTCTTTTCTTTCTAGACTTCAGGCAGCCCCTGACCTTCCATTATGGTAAGACCGCCTGCCAAGCCTTATCTCATATGATTTCTGCTTGTTTTTGTTATGGAATGTGTAAGACAGTTGTGACTCATCAGCAATATATGTGACAATCCCTTTCAGGGGAGATGGTCAGCCTCTGGCAAGTTTCAGGGTGCGCATTTTGGAGCTGCTGTCCCTGTGGGAACCTGCAGCCGCTTGACAGATGCGCTGCAACTCTGGGAAACGACAATAGCGCGAGGGACACCTTATGGAGGCAAGGAGATCGTTAGGCCTGGTGTCCGAGGCAGCCGATCCACCTGGAAGAGGGTGCACTGGTGGTCTCCAGAGGCGCAACGCTTAAATGAAATTCCTCAAAGGGAAATGAAGAAAACCTGCAGTGCCCCTTTGCCCTCAAGCATAGAGACGTTTTATTTTGAAGGCTGCCATCACCAGGCCTCTGGGTTTACTACGGAAGCAGAAAACGACTCAGAAGTAAAACCCTGAGAAGTTATGGACAGAGAGCCTCAGAAAGGAGAATGGGAAACCGATCGAGCTGGAAGGTCACAGGGCTACTTGGCACCCGTCACCCAAGACTTGGACGGTCCAGGGCGTCCGCTCCTATGGCCTTGCTGAGGGATCTGCGAACGCCGGGGTGAGAGGGATGCAGAGGGACAGTCTGCCTGCCACGCTGCCGGCATCAGAGAAAAACACAGTCCACTGCGGACTCCGAGTTCTTATAAAAAAGGGGTGTACCTTGTGGGCGGTCCGATGTCGCCAACGCCGTTAAGTCACAGCAAGATGAAAACGTTTAAAAAAAAAGAAAAAAGGAAGGTGGAAACAGCAGCGCGCCTGACCCGGGGGACGGCCCTTCCGTGCTCCTGACGCAGAGCGAGCGGCGGGGGGCGCCGCCGGGAGGCCCCCTCCCCTCAGTCCCGGCACAACCAGCGCGGCGGCGCGGGGGGACCTCGGAGGCCGCCGGGAGGCCCCGTCCCCTCAGTCCCGGCGCAACCAGCGCGGCGGCGCGGGGGGACCTCGGAGGCCGCCGGGAGGCCCCGTCCCCTCAGTCCCGGCG